TAGCAGATGACTGGATAAAAAGCTGTGGTATATTTATACAATGGAATACTACTCAGCCATAAAAAATGAAATAATGTCACTTCCATCCAACATGGATGGACCTAGAGATTCTCATACTAACTGAAGTCAGACAGAGAAAAATACCATATGATGTTGTGTATAGGTGGAATCTGAAAAAATGAGACAAATGAACTTATTTTCAAAACAGAAACAGACTCAGACATAGTACACAAACTTATGGTTACCAACGGGGAAAGAGCGGAGGGATAAATTGGGAGTTTGGGATTAGCAGATACAAACTACTGTATGTATATAAAACAGGTAAACAACAAGGTCCTATGGTATAGCACAGGGAATGATAGTCAATATCTTATAATAACTTACAATGAAAAAGAATATGAAAATTTATATATTTCTGTATGACTGAATCACTACACTGTACACCAGAAACTAACACAATGTTGTAAATCAACTGTACGTCAGTAGGAAAAAATCAAGATCTCAAATGCTGATCCCCTTGACCTGGACTTTGTGGGGAGCTGTGCGAACCCCACACAGCGGGTCTGTCTCTCCCATGTTCTCCCAAAGCACCTGGTCTGCGGTAACCTTCATCCCAGCTCCCTGAGAACAGGGGCCTTTCTTACTGTATCTTCCATCCCCAGCACTTAACACACTTCCTGGCCCACAACTGGCCTCAACACATGCTTGTTGGATGAAGGGTGGTGGATAAAGGAGTGAACAGAGTGTTCTCCATCAGTATTGTTTCTGAAGGACAGCTGAGGAGATACTGGATTCAGCGGGGGCCGGCGCAGACTTGCTCTTCACAGGACAATCCGAGTTTGAGAGACAGAGCAAGTCTCGACTTCCCCAGGCGGCCCTGCCATTTTGACCCCAGAGTCCGAGGCAAGGCCTTGATCCCATTCCTTAGGACAAAAACGGCTTGCATGTCCCTTGCAAGAGGGAAGACCAGAGCAAACCAAGGTCAACTGCTCACAGCTGCAGCCGGTCCCGTGCAGCTGCGACTTGAGGCACCTCTGGTGCTTAGGACGGAATCTGAGTGTCTCCTTAACTTGCTGGAAAAAACTTTTTGTAGTGATGATCAGAAAAACTCAACCACATGTCCATGGCCTGAAATGGGTTTGCGTAAAATTTAATGTCTTAAACATCTCAGGAGTTAAGAATGATAAAACACGCACAAGGCAAGGAACTGCATCAGGAAACTGTATCACGTATTAAGAAACAGCTATTTTAAACATTTTAAAAAGCCATTTTTTGATGCCATGCTTTTTCTTGGCTAATTTACTTTTTTGGTTTCTGCATTTTTACCCACCAGATAGCAGTAAGAAGAGGTTAGAATCTGGGTAACAAGTTCTTTTGGCTGCACTCTTGGACACAGAATCATTTTCACCTGTAATTATAGAAATCTGTGAAAATGTGTTCTATTTTCCAGGCTGCCAACTTGGAGAGAATTTCTGAGTTATTTTGGGGGAAAAAAAAATCACAACATAGCTTCATCAATCTCTGTTTGCACCGAGGTTACATAAAATTTCCCCATCGAGGATTCAACAGCCACTTTGATATATCAGATCCGGG